GGGAATAAGAAGAAAGAAAAAAAAAAAAAAAAAAGGTATGTAAGGTGAATAACATAGAAAGACAAATGATATCCAAAACTTGAATACAGTTAGAAGATGAACGGCCATAGCTTCCACAAGGGCCACACAGAATCGATCGATTCGATCCGAATTCCCCCAGTCTAATTGTGTGTGTCTGTTTTTTTTTCTTTCTTTGTTTGTGTTTTGCCTTGTTGTTCGGTACCCTCGTCCAAAAAATGAGGACCTCGTCATGTACATCTCATTTTTAATTCCATCCGAGCGAGTTCTCGGCCATCACAGGGGCACTGATCATCTGTGTCCGTCCGGTGCCGCGACTGTTGTTGCTGTTGCGCGACATACGGCCACCCGCTCCGAACAGAGATGCCCCGTTCCGGCCCTCGCTCATCTGCTCGACGTTCGAGCTCGACCGCTGGTGCAATTGACGCTTCTTGCGGTAGCGACGAGCCACCCAGAACATGCCCGCGCCGTAGGCGGCGGCTCCCGCCACGACACCAACGCCAATGCCGACCGAGCTGGCGTGAGTCGAGCCGCTGCTGCTGGCACCCGCATCCGAGTTGGGGTCCGACTGGCTGTTACCGTGGTCGCCGCCGCTGTTGCCGTTGGACCCACTCGAGCCGGAAGATCCACTGCTGCCCGAGGAGGATCCAGACTCACCCACCACCAGAGGAATGGAAGGATCAACCATCGACATCAGAGCCTTGGCGGAGCATCGTCCTGCTGGTAGAGCCGTGAGTTAGGGTTGTTCAGCATCTTCTGCAGCCCATCCACCTGGTCGGTGGGGATGTACGCCATGGCCACGGTCGCGATATAGCCCGTGCTCTTCGAATTGTCGTAAGGCTGGATCGCCAACATGGGCACCTCCTTTCGGAGAATCTGCAGCGCGTACTCAAGCGCAATGGGAATGTAAAGGAAGATCTGCGAGGATGACAGCGGCGTCGTGGCCACAAAGCTGTAGCGAAGCTTGCCGTTGAATCCCAACTGAATCAGGGTAGAGTCCGCTGGAGGTTCGACGGGAACGTTGCCGGGAGAGATGGACCCAGGGAGCTGGGTCTGAGTGGACGTCGTCGTCGCCGTGGTGTGGGTGGCGGTGTTTTGCGTCGTCGGGCTGGGAGGCTCCACCAGAATGGTCGACGGAACCCAGTCCGTGGCATCGCTCGTCGTGGTAGGCTCCGGGGTGGGAGCGACCTTGGTCGTGACCGTCGACTTCTCCGTGGTGCTGGGCTGTTCCGTGCTCGTCGGAGTCAGGGTAGTGGAGGAAATCGGAGTGGGTGTGTTTGTCGAAATCGGGTTGCTTTGGCTCGTGGGCAGGTCGGTGGGCTTCGAGGAGCCGATGAGAGGAGTCGACGAGACAGATGAGGGTAGAGACGAGCCACTGGAGCCAGTCGAACCGGTCGAAGGAACGACACCACTGGTCGACGTAGGAACACCCGGGCTGATGAGCGAGCCGGACGGTCCATGGGTGAAGGTCTGCGTTCCGGTGGACGCTCCTGGGATGACGGGGCTGGATGTGGTGGAGCCGCTCGATCCAGAAGCTCCTGGAATGACGCCGCTGGTGGGTATGCTACTGGGTTCTGGGATGACTCCCGAGGACGTGCCAACGGAGGGCGTGGGCGTGGCCGGCGGGATACTGATGGAGATTGTCGGCAGGATACCCGAAGAGCTCGTCAGATCAGTGGAGCTTCCACTGGCCGTGCGAGAGCCCGTCTGTGCGGTCGACGTTTCCGAGCCGTTGGCCGTGGGTGTGGGAAGAAGGCCAGATGGAAGCCCAGTGTCCAGCAATCCGGAGGAGCTGGCGGCGGAGGGTGACAGAATGGAGGACAACAGACCGGATGGCGTCGGGATCACATCAATCGACGTGAGCTGACTGGTGGACTCCGATGAATTGCCCGTGTTCGTGGGCAGGAGACCCGGCAAGAGTCCGCTATCCAATAGGCCGGAGGAGGTGGCAGCCGAGGGGGAAACGACAGAGGAAACCGCCGACTGGGTCGGAATGACCTCGATGGACGTCGGGTGGCTGGAGGACCCGGTCGCTGAGGAGCCTGCCGAGACCGTTGGGATCACCTCGCTCGAGGTCGTCTGGTTCGCAGACGACTCCGAGACACTGGACGTGCTCGAGCCGGAGAGGAGGCCGGACAGGAGTGAATTGACCAATCCGGTGGTCGACGAAGGCTGCTCGGTCGAACTCGCCACACCGGTCTGCGAGGGCGGCACGCCCGTGGAGGTGCCCTCGGTGGTGCTGGCACCCGTGGCCGAGTTCGACGGAACCACGGAGCTGGCACTCTCAGAGCTGGACGAGCTGCCAAACAGGCCGCTTACCAGATCACTCAGCACGTTCCCAGTCTTCGTGGGTGTCGTAGACGGGGTGATGGCCGTCGTACCAGTTTCCTGCGAGGACCCGACTGTGTTCGAAGACGACGCCGTGGTGGTCTCCTCCGCCGCCGGGGTAGATGTACCGGGTTCCTGCGACGATCCAACCACGTTCGAAGCCGACGCCGTCGAGGTGGACGATGACTGGGACACCGATGGGGCGCCAGACTCGCTCGCTGACTCCGACGACGTGGAGGTGTCCGAAGGCGCCTGGGATGGAGTCGAGCCTGTGGTGGTCGCTGAGGCGCTGGCCGCGGCTGGCTCGGAAGTCAACACCGAGCTCGTCACGGTCGAGGAAGAGGCAGTTCCCGTCGGCGTTGGCGTCAACGTATGCGTCTTGCCCGCCTCATCGACGGACAGGGTGATGACAACAACCTCGGGCGCTTCCGTCGGTGCCGTGGTGGCTTCTTGGAGAGGCTGCAGAATCGAATCGAGGACGTTGGTGTTGGACCTGGGCACTTCAGCGGTCTCGGGCGCCTTGGACGACGCTCCAGGGGCAGCCGATGTTTGGTAGTTGATCAACCTTTTCATGTGTTTCGCCATAAATCGAGGTTTCAGCGTTGGCTCCTCGGCCGCGCCTCGAGCTGCAACCAGCTCAAGACCGCCGAGCGAGAGCAACGCCGTCAGTAACGACGCTGTCTGGGCGACCATGATGTAGGCGTCAAGGATATAATTACCGGTGGGAGGGAAAGAGCGGTAAACAGTCGTAATATAGAAGGAATGGACAGAGCGATAGCTCAAGCGGGAGCTTCCAGATCCACCAATGCAAGATCACGCGTCGACTGTCGAAGTCAAAAGCGTCGACGTTGCAGGCTCAGAGATCGGGTGGCTGGGGGCGATGGTGAGGGGGTAAATGCGACACTACCCCGGCCTCGTCTTTTCCGTTTGATGTTGTCTCCGAACGAACCCCTCGAATGATCAGTTCGTCCACGCAGAGGGCTGGAGCGTAGTTCCACCAATGGTTCCGATGCGACCGAATCACCAATGCCAGCGATCACTCTGCGACAAAACGTCTCGACGGCGAGTACTGGGAACTGCAGTGACAGCGGGTCGATCGAGGACTGGAGCCGATTCGTACGGAGGATTTAACGACGGATCTAAACTGAAAACAACAACGCGCAGGTTAAAGAGCGGCAAGGGGTCAACCAGTCTGGTCGGAATTCCCTTTCACAGCGAAAGCAGTTAACGAACGTCGGTGGTGGGAGTAAGGAGCGAACGACGAGGTCAAAAACGGGTAAACGAATGTGGTGGGTGAGTGGTCGTGGTTGTTCGAGTCGACAACGCAAAACAATATTCCTGGCGGCGCGACAAAACGGCAGGCGAAGGAGGTTGTACTAATGATTCCCTCTCGGTCGATGCAAGGAGACGATGGTGGATGAATCCCCAAACAGGCCGTTGACGTAGAGGAGAAGCGGAGCGATCAATGGATCTTGGGCTACGTCAACGACAGGATCGCACGTAAAACCATCCAGAGCAGCAGAATGGGGGGAGGGATGGTGAAGACAAGAATCCAACCACCAGAAAAGAACGAAAAAGAGAGAGGGAAAGAGAAAAGCAAAAAAATCAAACACCAAATTAATGACAAAGGAAGGGAAGGACTGGGAAAGGGAAGGAGAGTGAGGAGGGAGTGAGCGAGCGAGTAAGTTCGTGTGGTGTGCTCAGGGGGCCAAGAGGGAGGAGGCCGTGGAAATACGACGTCAGCGTCAGCGTATGGACGATCGGACCCACCGCCGTATTATTATTATTATTAGTAGTAGTACTAGTAGGACTCCGTACGGTGTACCGTGTACCGTGTGTAATTGTACGAGTACGCATCCTCTGTCGATGTTCGTCCATACTTCCTCCGTACTTACTACGTACAGTACATCCGCCTCTTCCACTGCCTACGACAACGGAGGACCGCACAAGTCAGGGTATCACCAACTCCCTCTGCACTGGATTGACTGCAGAGATGAGGAAACAGAACTCTCCCGTGTGACCCTGAGGACTCGATGGTGCGATCATTGGGTCGGGTTGGCGTTCCACGACGACTGCTCGCACTATCGAAGTCGACTGTGATAGTTACCCTGACAGGCATGATCCTCGAGCATGGACCCCGGGACGAGCATTCATGTCTCCATCGCAGAAATTAAATCGACCCCGGTCCAGCGGGTGGAAATTAATCACTGTCTTCATTGAATGAGTTGTCGCTTTGAATTCCAACCGTTCTGGTCAGAGGAAAATCCCCCTCCTCCCACGTCCAAGAAGTGATCCGACGTTGAGTCGCTGTTTTACCTGGCCTTTTTGTTTTTCGGTTTCTTTTCTGTTCCCTCTTGTTTTTTCATCTTCTTCTTCCGTGCGCATTGCATCGGTAGCTTAGTAACAATCCAAAACAAAATCCAAAGTAAACAAGAAGGATAAAAAAAAACCCATTCTTGGAGCGATACAGTCGTACGGAGGGTGACACTGGACCAGGATGCCGATCAGGTGTACGCTGCTCATCGTAATTCCCGCCTTTTTTTTTCTTTTCCTTTTTTCCAATAATTTCCAGCCTCTTCAGTCAAGGTTCGGACCATTTCAAGGGCTAGACCGACGGCGTCCACTAGCGCGTTGCGTGCCTGGATGATTGTGGGGTTTTCTGCTTTCCTTTCCTGCCGGTGCGTGGTCATTGCCTCGCGGGTGACACGGACAAAGAGAGGAGTTAGCCGCCAGTGCAAGTACGCTTGATTTTGCTCGTCGCCCTATTTTGAATTTCCAATGCACATGGGACGTGGTACAGGATGTGTGTATGGATCTTGGTACATGTACGGTCACATCGGTACGCTGTTACCAAAGCACAGTCATCACGCTCAACGAACAATAAAACAGAATGTACAGAGTAAAAACAGCAACATCAGCAAGTCCCCGTCAGATTGGTTTTGGCCCCCTTTTTTTTCATTTTCTTCTTCCCTCACTCAACTCGTGAGTTCTCTTCTCACGCGACGTCCACCTTGCCACGGTCGCATCAATGCCTCTGTGGATTCATCTGCCGGGCGCCTGCTACTATAATTACGTCGGATCTCTGCCCTAAGCCTCCTTAGCCGGAACTTAGTCAAACACAATGGACCTCGTTTGGAAGTCTGTCCTCGGTAGTCCCAGAGACCATCCAGCGGCGTCGGCCAAGACGACTAGAACGGTTGCCTGGACTGAACTGCCCAGTGTCGGTCTTCACACCACGTGCGATCCTCTTGTCATGACGGACGGATATGATGCTGATCCTGCATTCCCCCCCTCCCCTCTCGCATCAGACAATTTCCACTGCCGAGAGGCATGAATGAGGGCAGTGTCGCATCTCCGGAATGTGACAAGCGAACCAGTCAGATTCATCCGTGAACCAACGGGGCTCACGTCAAGGCTGAAACACTTGTGCCCCCCTTGACTCCGTTCCCCTCCTGTCTCAGCAGAACCAAGCCAGAGGAGAGAGAGAAAAAGAAGAATGAAAAAAACGCTGTATTGCACACGATCCCAATAGGGCAATCGTGTCTCTGCGCCGCCCCCCCTCTCTTCCCAAGAACCAGAACCAGAACCAGATACAGGGTTGGCGTTGTCCACCAGAACCACATTCGGTCTCCGTGCACTGCCAACCGACGGTGGTTCTCCTTCCCTCAGTGCTCGTTTTTGGTCCTGATCGACGAGAGTCAATGCGGCGATACGCCGTTCAGAAAGGAACTCGGATCATCGGGAGTTCTCATCCCGGGCGGTGCATGCATGCATCATGCTTCATTGGAAGATGAGGTTCCCTTTTTGTCTCGGGAAGGATCCCAATTCTGCGTTGGTCTCAATAGTTGGGAGACTTGTGTCGTGTATCGACCACTGTAAGGCGTAGTATTCTTCCTCTTTTCTTTCCTTTTTTTTCGAATTTGCGATACTCTCCTTTCTAGTCCCAATGCGATGTTTATTTCCCCGGCCCGGCCGACCCAATGGCACGAAGACGCTAAGCCTGTTCCTGGCGAGCGCCCCATCGCAGTCCCGTGGTTCATTGGTCGCTTACGGTATGGTGGTTTCAGGTTTCCTGGGTCGTCATTGGATTGGTTACTCGTACCGTGGTATGGATGTTGTTTAATTTCATCCCGCAATTTCCACGCTGTGGGTGATTTGGCTTGGCGAGGAGAATGAACTCGTCCAGTACAGACAAAACAATGAATCAATCCATGCATCTCACCAATCACACAATTGCTACATAGCCACGAACCATTCATTACCCTGGGATCTCTCTGTCTCTACCGATCGCTATCTCATTGTCTACCCAGTGGTATGGAGAGTTCACCCACACGCGACGATACACTTGATCGACCGCCACCGACCCTCCTCTGATGAACTCTAAGCTCCAGAGTTTGGATCCCACAATGCGATTCACTCAGAGACGAGAACCCCCTGGAGTTCTCTTCGTCACCAGGCCCGTACACTCAATCTCAACATCCGTTCCCAACGGCAACGTCTTGACAGCCACACACGTCCGCGCCTCGAGATCAGTCAGCACGCGTATCCAATCCACTCCCCACGAGAGCACGTAGCGAAAAAAACAAAAGCCAGCACTCACCGGCTTGGGATCCTGGAAAAACGTCTCGTAGACTTCGTTCACTGCCGCAAAATCCCCCATGTCGGCCAGGAAGATGTTCACCTTCACCACGTCCTGGAGACTCGAACCACCCGCGGTGAGGACGGCGCTGAGGTTGCGGAGGATTTGTTTCTAGAATGCATGAGTCACCCTTCCGTAGAGAACCAGATCATCTCACGACGAGAACCGTACCGTTCGCTCCTGGATGGGTCCCTCGACCATCTTTCCCGTGCTGGGACTCACTCCCACCTGTCCCGAGCAGTAGACTTGAGAGCCGGCCACGATGGCCTGGGAGAGGAAGGATGGCGGCAGAGGCGCGTCCTGCGTGCGGACGGGAGTTCGGTTTGGCTTCCACATGGTTTCTTGCGTGTTGTTCCCTGTCGTTGCGCTGGGGAGACCGGTCGATGAAGGACGGAGTCCTCCATGGGGATGTGCGGTCTTGGCTGGATTGATCGGGCGGGGTGGACCCACTGCACATGCGGAGGGTCCAGTAGACTGATGCCGTTGTTGAGTTGTCTATCAAGACATCGTCGGTAGTGTGATGCCCTCGGGATGTCGGTTTTGGAGGGGAGGATGAGTAGTCGTGGGTGTCTCTGGGTGGTAGAGTTACTTCAAACATGGATGGAAGTCGATGTCGCATCTCCGGAAGGTAAATATCTCCGCGCTCCGTTACATATATATACAACCAACGGTGGTAAATAATCACACCCACACCACGATAGTGCCCAACGCTTGTATTCTCGAGGAATCAACGAGAAAATGGGTATCCACACCCGGACCTCTCTTTTCAAACTCCCATCAGAGAAATCTTCCGTTGGTGATCAGGGAAGAAAGAGGCAGAGGGAGAAACTATATCGGGAGCTCCGTCGTTGCCGTTACGTTGCCGTTATCCTTATGAATCTACTTTCACGTTACATTCTAAATGAAGCCAGCATCTTCTATCGAGCTCTCGCAACATATACTGTAGAATCATGCAGACCTCTCGGTAGCTGCCATCTACTGGCACACTTATCGACAGTGTCATTCAGGATCGCGCAGATGAACGCGCACAGCAGCATGCGCAGCCCCTCCATTCACTGTAGACTCGACCAACTCATTCACTGCCCACAACACCGTGCCTGGGTAGCCCACTGAATCCGCACCCATGGCGACTTCATCCTGACTCGCATCATCCACCATCGTTCTCACTACCACGTCAGTTCTTCCTCATGGAGCTAGACGAAACGGATCACGAAGGAGCTGCTGTGAGCATCGCAGGCCAAGGTTCGTCCGACACAGCAGCCCCGTCTGCAGATCAGAAAGTCGTCGAGATCGAAGTCCACGGTCTGAAGGCGAGGATCTTCCTGAACTGTCCCGAAGAAGACCTCATCCCTTCTCGATACCTCAAAAAAGCCCAGCGATCACGTATGTACATGTTCATCACCCGTCCCTGGCTATTGCTCTCCACATACCTTCAACTCGTTCACCGTCATGAAATCGTAAACCCCAAGAAGAAAGAGGGGGAGAGAGAGGGAGAGAGAGAGAGAGAGAGAGAGAGAGAGAGAGAGAGAGAGAGAGAGAGAGAGAGAGAGAGAGAGAGAAGAAGCTG